TTTTTTTCAGATACGAACAAAATTTACGAGTGGTCCAGACCTGTCGTATATTTTACGAGCAGTCAGTCTGCTGTTGTTTGTACGGATTTTCTTCACTAATAACTTTATATTTCATTATTTAGAAAATGTTTTGAGTTGAAAATAAATCGCACTCCATAATTATGTTGACAATAGGTTATTCTGTTTGAACTGGAATTATAATTTTCATTGTAACTAATGACATATATTGGTTAAATTAAAATAAATTGGCTATTTTGTTGTATAGCACTACAATATTAATATGAAGTTAATTGAAGTTGTGAGACATTTTAAAATGCTTTTTTTCAGAAACGTATATCCTTATATGGTGTTTTTGGAGTGGTAATTATGCTAATCTACACTGTGTGCATGAGCAGCTGGATAGAACAGGTGTAATTCATCATGTTTACGCTCCTCATTTACACACTTTTCCTGAAGATAGAAGAGTTTGTTGAATCTGACGTGAAATTTTCGTACGAACCCTTCGTACGAACAAAAGTAAGAGAAATTTAGGATAAGAATATGAACATGTACTTGCATGAGGCCCAATGTTTCTGTGCACTTTTAGTAAGCGACAAACTGCATGGAAATCAAGTCTCAGATTCATAAAGCAGGTTAAATTCGGAACTTAACCCTGAGCTCTACGTTGACAAAGCCTGAAGGATGAAATTTAAATAAGTTTTTGATTCCAGAACAGCTGATCAGATTAAGTTCAGTCAGCTCTGAGTATATTGAACCTAAAAGAAGTGATTACTAAGAAACCATCATGAATAGACCTTTTAAAACTATGAATCAACATGGCAACGGGTAAATAAGGTAATATAACTATCATAGGGATGTGGAACAACAGGGATGTACCTTTATGATAACTTTACGATTTAAACATCAGATGTTACAGTCAGTCGGACAACAGTCATTCTGTGATTGTGCCTATTATGAAAAAWTATTTACAGTTTAATACAGATTAGTTTTAACAGTGATTTAGGATACTAAGGTTATGTAGCTCACATTGCTTCTACTGCAACTTTTAACAAACTGACGGGTAAATTGATGTTCACTGACTCACTGTGTTACTGTAGATTTTTGCTCTTATTCTGTGCTATAGTTGAACCCACAATGTCTGGAGATAATTCTGCTGATTATAGATTGGCTATGTTTTGGTAAAAAAATAAATACCACCCTAAGAGAGAGTTTGCTGTTTTAAGATACACATTCATTCTGATATGTTTTATTAACAGTGTGAATGAAAAAAAAAATTGTTTTTGTTACATCTCCGTAGGTCATGTTCACAGCATAAATTGTGGCGGTTCCTGTTGTAGGGTTTAAGTTCTTGATAACTTAAGTGTCCCTCATCCCAGGATTATCTTAAATTTCAGAAAACCAACTTTCTGAAACATCTCTTTTCTTGGTCTTTAATATGTGGTTAAATATATATTGGCACAGCACCTATCTTTTTTTAACTGAACTACTTTTTTCTGTGTTCTCTCAACCTACTGTTTTTTATTTTTATTTTTGGCACAGTGCACATGTGTAAATGTGTAACTATAATGACTGCAATATATTTAATATGCATAATTCTGGTTTCACACAAATGTCTTTTGCCAGGTAATACCCATCTCAGAGATTCAATGGGAGGAGAGTGGCTACACAAATGGGCATCATTCTGGGGTCAATATCCCGGAACTTGACAGTCCTCTTTCAGAGCTGGCAATGGCGGCACTGCGAGACAACATTGATCCATTGCAGCAATCTGACTGTTTTGGGGCAGACATTTATCTGAACACGGTCCAATATGTTGAGAACCTTCTTGAATCGAGATAAAACAAAAAGAACATTTAACTTTCCAACATTGAATAAAAGCTGTGGAACATTTCAAACGTTAACTGTGCCTTATGTTCTGCACCCATGATTCTGTAATACAAATATGAACACTAAAATAGTTTGTAACTTATAAATTCAAAGTTTGTGTCTAGGCATATTCTACAAGAGAAAAAAAGATCCCTACCTTCCTCTACAATTACRATGACTCTTTGAAAAGTGGGTCACCTGCATCTCTAACTTGTAGTCTGTTCAATCACTACTGCCAAGTGACATATGGTGAAAGAACAGTCTAGACTTTTTTTCTCCATAGACCATTGCATAGTATTCCCAGGTCTTAACAGCTGTAGCTCAGTCATTAGAAAATTCAAGAAAAGCCAAATGATTATTTGAAGTACTGTATATAATTCAATACTTTTTAACAAATTTGAAACCAACCTGAGTATCATTTTTGTCCCCCTTTGTGCTACCAAAAAAAGCTGATAATTAAGGCATGGCTTTAGGACATTGAGGTGTCTTGTTTTTGGAACTGAACAATTTCACCAGCCACGAGTTTGTACAAAATATTTTACTTGAGCTTTTTGTGAATATATGCCATTAAAAGATTTTGAAAAACTGATGTAATGTTTTAAAGATTATTCCTGCTATGCTAAACAATGTCCTTATACCTGTGTTAAACATTTTTGGAATAAATGCAGTACTGAATACTGCTTTTTTTAAATGGCTACAAGGCCAATCATGTTCCAAAACAAACAAAACTACTATTTTTGCAACTATAATGTAAGAACTTTATTGTTCATAAAAGGTAACAAATTGTACATTTATACAATATTTTCAAAATGTTATGAAATGTAGCAGGACAGTCGTTCATAACACATAACAGTAAAGGGGCAACAGTGTTGGACAAGCTGGCATTTTTAAAAGCACCAGCATTGAAAATAGAGTATTGTGGAAGTATTACTATTAGAAAATCAGCTGTATAAACGTCTGAATGTATAAAATATGCAAATCTGTGTAAACTGTTCAATAATACATTAATTGAAGTCTGACTTCAACACCACCCATTACTAATGACTGCGTACGACAGTTAAGATATTTYTACAATCCAAGCGTACTGCAGAGTTAAAGATGACATCAGAACACCAGCAGCTAGATTATAACATTCCAAAAAGTAACTACAGAACTAGTTCCCATATTGGCAACTTGTGGGAAAACATCTCAACCTTCACAGATAAATGTGATGCCAGAGAATCAAATGTGGCACTTCAAAGAAAAACAAAATAACTGAGTGCAATAAGTTTATGTTTGCCCCTATACAAGTCCAAAGCCAGAACTTATGGAACTGAGTGCCATCATCAAGTCCTGGTGAAAACTGTCGTAGGTCTGGTAGTGGCTGGGGAGCTTCAACTTCAAGAAGCAGGTGAGAGCCACTGGGTAACTTGATGTTACAACCTCAACCTTGAGATTTTTTGTTGGCTGTTCCCACCCAACCCAAAACTTCATCAGGTCACGCAGCACATCTGGCCATGCTGTGGAACACAAAAGAGGTAATGAGCAAATTAGGTTTTTATTAAGCACTGAAACAG